ACAGGTGATATTTGTATTTGCAGTGAAGTTTGAGTGTTGGGACCTAGGTGCTCTCAGAAGTATTTCCTTTTGGTTCCTCTCCTACTGTGTAGGCTGTGAAGGGCAGTCCCTGATTAGTAGCGCTTGACTGGATGCAAAGCTGAACTTTAAAAATGGCACTGGCACCAGGATTTCTGGGATGTCCTGACAGTGGCGAGTACTTCTGCCACTGATGAGAAGGAAAATAGTGCAGGCTTAGCACCAATTGGTGTAGTGCATGGTTAATGAGGAAACTCGTAGGGAATAGTGTGAGAAAACTTGTTCAGGATCACAGAGAGACAATTTTCGTGAACTCAACAAAATTGACACAGTTAACGTTTGGTAAAATTCAACCCACTATTACTGTAGCCATTTCTTTTAAGTCCCGTGGACTCCTGGGAACATGTTGGTCTTCAGCTCTTGTCATTTTTCCAGCATTTTCCTTTGTTCACCTCTAGATTCACATTTATCTTCCTATATACTCTGTCCCAAATGTAATTTGTTGTTGTCATTATTATTAACTGAGAAATATTAACATCAATGGTTTAATCCAATATAGTGTAGTGAACAGTCAAAGGAAAATGTATAAAACTTGAAAAAGGCAAAGTTCAATGAGATAAAAAGGAATTTGGGCTCAACTTAACAGAACATAAAACTGTAGGTAAATAAAATGCCGACAGAAATCATAAAGCAACAAGGTAGATAAGATGCAAAATAAATGTATTTCTCTCATATCCTTGTCAAAGGATAAATTCCCAATGGATAAATAGAGATAGCAAAATTAAACGGAAAGTTAAAAAGAAAGAACACGATTAAACTAAGGCCAATAATACTAAAGAAAGATATTATAAATAAAGAAAACATTTTGGAAAGATGAAGAGAGAGATTGGAGAACCAGCAAACAATTATGATATATTTTTTCAAAGGTTTTAACAAAAAAAATCAAGGCTGTTTTAAGTTTCCTGGGATTTTTTCAAATGTTTAGGATAAAGGAAAACCACTTGAGCCTGAAAGGGGGAATTTAGTAGCGGATCTTGAATTTAAATGATGGAGATATTATATAAAAACCAAAGTTTGAATGATTTTTTTCAATGTTCCCAAATCTTATGTTAAAGACATTACTTACCAACTTGGCAATATTCAAAGTAGAAAAGTCAAAATCCTGGAACTTCCTAACAATACTGAGTGTGTATCTCTAAGATTGCAAATATTATATCCTTCAAAAAAAAGACTAATCAGTTAGCCTAATGTAGTTGTTGGGGAAACTTTCAGGGACAACAAGCTGGGACAGATAGTCTTGTAAAATGAATGCTTAATACAGTAAAATCAACATGATTTTGTTAAAAGGCAAATCAAGTTTGATTAGTTTGAATGGGTTCTTTAATGAAGTAATGGAGAGTGTGGCGTCATTGATTTGTACATAGTCTTTCAAAAGGCATTTAATAAAGTGCAAGTCCATAATAAGTCATAAACGTCTTCACCAAATTAAAGTCAATTGAATTATAGGGACAATAGAAGTGCAAATGCAGGATTGGCTACAGAAAACAGAGAGTAGTGTTGAATTTGTGGACCTTTAAGCAGAGAGAAGTGTACAGTGGCCTTCCAGGTGAAGCAGTGATTTACCTGCACTTCATTCAAGCTAGCCTACTATATTTGCTGCTCAGAATGTGGTCTCCTCTACATTGGGGAGATGAAAAGCAAGCTGGCTGACCACTTTGCCTAACACCTCTGTGCTATCTGTAAAACTGACCCCAACCTTCCAATTGCCTGCCATTTCAACACATCACTGTGTTCCAATGCCAATATTTCTATCTCATGTCTGCTGCAGTGCACCAGGAAGCTTTAGGAACAAAATTTTATCTTTGCCTAGGTACCTTACAGGCCTCAGAACACAACAGTGAATTTAACAATTGAGTGTAAACACCTTCCTCCATATTTGTTACTGACCCAAACACCGCCAAGTTCTGTTCGCCCAGCACAGCAATAATTTTCAATTGTTCACACCTCTCATTCGCACCCATTCTGCCTTTATCTATTTCCCGGCTTATCATTAGCAATCCCTTTGCTTCTCCTTTGTATTACATCTCTCTGGGTATGATCGCCATCTATTTTTCTAACTCCTTTCCCCCACCACCTGTTATTAGCATAAATGCCATCAATTCCCAGCTGCTTTCAATTCTGTTGAAGGGTCACTGGATTTGAAACATTAACTCTATTTTTCTCCCCACAGATTCTACTAGACTTGCAGTGTTTTTCTAGCAGTCCCATTTTAGTTTCAGATCTCCAGCATTCACAGTTCTTTGTTTTTTTTTGATACATGTTTAAAATTATTTAAAATATATTTAAATTTATGGTAGTCCTTGACTTGACTTGTACTTAGTTTTGTAAAGCATAATTTCAAAGTTTGCAGATGACACGAGTTGGAAAATTATTAACTGGGGATATTTACGGACTTCAGTGTGTCATAGACAGTTTGGTACAGTGAGCAAGAATTTTGGGAGATGAAATTTGTTGCAGCAAGTGTAAAGTAATTCATCTTGGTAGGAAGAATGAGAACAGGGAATATAAACTAAAAGTTACAGTTTAAAGTAGGTTCAGGATGAGAAACTTGGTTGTGTGCTTACCCTCCTGGCTTGGAAATATATTGCCATTTCTTCACTGTTGCTGGGTCAAAATCCTGGAATTCCCTTCCTAAGGGCATTGTGGGTCTACTTACAGCACAGCCAAGAAGGCAGCTCACTACCACCTTCTCAAAGGCAACTAGGGATGGGCAATAACTGCTGGCTAGCATGTGATGCCTACATCCCATAATTGAACAAACAGAGGCATTGGTGGGTGAATAGTAAGGTCTTTTCCCTAAGATAGTGGAGTCCAAAACTAGAGGCCATAGGTTTAAGATGAGGGGGAAAGAGTTAAAAAGGATCTAAGGGGCAACTTTTTCACGCAGAGGATGGTGCATGTATGGAATGAGCTGCTAGAGGAAGTGGTAGAGGCTGGTAAAATTACAATATTTAAAAAGCATCTGGATGGGTATATCAATAGGATAGGTTTAGAGGGATATGGGCCAAATGCTGGCAAATGGGACTGGATTAATTTAGGATATCTGGTCGGCATGGACAAGTTGGACCGAAGGGTCTGTTTCCATGCTGTACAGCTCCATGACTCTATATTTCTCCTCCAGAATCATAGATTAGGTAATTGGTATTTAATTTACTGTTATCCCAAAGTCTCCAATCAACAGCTTGCATTGACATACCACAATGTCTATGCATAGACATGCAATTAGGAGGCACCATACTTTTCAGGACCTTGGAGAGAAAAGAGAGAGGTTGGAGATGGGGCAGTAGTTTGCAGGGCCAGAAGGATAAAGGTTAGATTTTAAAGGAAATGGAGGGTAATGGCGTTTTAAACTTGAAGTTAATTCCACCCCCCCCCCTCCCTTCTAAGAGATATTTATTTGTTAGCAGACACTGACTTATAATAAACATTGGGACCTAGACATATTTCACGATAACCTATGATGCCCCGCGCGTGCGCATTGCGAAGACAAGTGTTGGTCGAATATCTTGCATCGGAACAAAACTAAACCAATCAGCGCTGGCTACATTATATCCAAACGTGCGACCGGAACCAGCACCCCTCACTGGTCAGTGGCCGAAGTTGTGTCAGCTGGTTGCACCACGCTTATTTTGGAGGTTCTGCGCTTTGGTTCCGTCTCTCAATTAAACCGGAGCTATCCGAAACCAAAATATCAGGAGATAACACTTTAATAATACCAGCTACTGTCTGTCAGCTTTGAAATTCTCCCCTCTTGCGTGTTTACCCCTTCCCTCCCCTCGGGGCTTATTTGATCAGGTGAGTGTGGAGATTTGTGCGGGTGGCATGAAAGTGAGAAAGTGCGTGTCGCATTTACCATCGCCTTATTCAAGAGTGCAAAGAAAGGCAAGAATTTGGGAAATGCCCATCCCGAGTTTCTGACTATAACTTTTCTTTTAAAAAAGAGTTATGTATAGACAGTACAAACAATTGCTGCTGAGAGGCCCGAAAATCACTGCCATTTCCGTCAATAAGATATCCCTTTCCCCCAACCACGCAATGTGGAACGAAATGGCGTGCATCCACGCTGTAGTTTTCCTGTAATCCTTAACGACTTAAATTTAGATGGAAGTGAAAGGTGGTAGTTTTCGAGAGTGCCCAGACTCTCGAGAACCTTAATAAAATATAAAGTAGGAATTACTTAGTTAAAAAGTCTGAATATAAATTTGAGAATGCACTTGCAGTCCAGAACTTAGCATTCCTGCAGAAGTGATTTCGGTTTCACGTTAATGTTGGACTTTGGAACGTTAAGCCGACATTAAGGCACGAAGTGACTTTCTAAGTAAAGTGGAGTGAGATTATTCTGACTCCGGGTTCAGATTGCATTTACACTGTTGGTGCAGATAAGTGAAACGTCTTCACAGTTGTAAGCATTATTTGCATACCCAAGAATAACTCTGCTTTTTGATCCTTGTCCACGATTTTATCGCCAGTTATTTCGTATGGGCTAGTTTTTTTTTTGCTGCAGGCACCCTTCTCAACCTTCCATTTACCGTCACCACAATCCGATCTGAAAAAAAATAAGGCCCTTAACTCTGACACTCTATCCCGTAAAATTAATGCTCAATGAAGAGCTAGAGTTGCTCGAGATTGTAGCTTTTTCCTTCAATTGGAGTTAACTCAAATATATTAATATGCAGCAAAAAATGAAAGCTGCTAACTTTTTTTCAACCAGCTGCCACCCCACCCCCATAAAGAAGGCAAATCAAATGAAATGAGAAGGGGAATTGAGATTGAACCCTCCTTTGTTACCTGTTTGCACAATACCACTTTTTCTGGATATATGAAGAAAAAGTGCATTTTATATTTGGGGGTTTTCTCCAACTCAGGAGGCCCAAAGAGCTTTACTGATAAAGATTCTTTTCTGAAAACTCTTTATTGTTGTAATGGTGAAAAACTCAGCGCCCAGTAAGCCCTCATAAACAGCCATGAAGTAAATTTTCAGAACATTTTTAAATGCTGATTGAGAAATAAATGTCGGCTAGACCATGGAGGAAAACATACCAACATGTAACTAACATGTGGATTCATTGAAGGACTGAAACTGCAAGGCAGCTGCAAAAGGTGTAAATAGCATGACATGCATAATAAATTGGTTTTCTTTCCCAAAGAATGCTACTGCTGTAATCAGTGTCGGGAGTAGCTTGTTGTAAAAGCTCTGCTGTGAGCTAACATAGATGGGTATTGCCATAAATTCATACTGCACAATGTGCATTAAAATTACTTTTAAAATTATTTTCATTGTTAAAATTACACATGTCCTTTTAAAAATCCTTTCATTTTCTGGGAGGGAATTGAATAAGCATTGAAAAAGAAACAATAAATAAAAAGCCATGCTGAGAGAGCAAGAATGGAATTAGTTGAATAACTCTTTCAAAAAGCTGATGCAAACATAACAGACTGAATGACCTCTATCTGTGTAATGATTATGATTCAATAATGCATAGCATTGTCATATATTAAAATGACCCATGAATTGTTGCTGGGAAGGAAGGAAAATTTTCTGATTTTACTCTGAATTGGTCCACTACTAAATTTTGTTTTAAACATTTAGCGGTTGCGCTCTTCACTTTTCTGATTGGAGGAAATAGTTCCTCTGAACTTACAATATCAAATCCTTGTAGCCATGTTCACAATGTAATTGAATGATGAAGTAATCACAGAGGCAGAATAGCCTACTCTTGTTCCTGTGAAGTTCTAAAATTTTTATCTGGTTACTTTTTTTCTGAGAACAGTGGAAAAGTGACATTGAAAAATATTGAAGGAAATTCTGAGATAACAAGGTGTAGGGCTGGATGAACACAGCAAGCCAAGCAGCATCAGAGGAGCAGGAAGGGTCT